CCGATGCCGAACAGAAATTCGGAGCCAGAGATTTTGGAGGAAGAGAGAGAGGGCGTGATTTTTTTCTTCCAGGCACAAGGGAAGACACAGCAGGCTAGCGCCTCAAGGACTGTGCCCCCCACCCTCCTTCGGGAATCGGAGAAGATTTTATATGTGGGGCTGCAGTCCGGGGGTATATGATAAGGATCAAAGTAGTGAAGGTCTTGCATTCTTCTTCTTCCCGCACTATTTCAAAACAGTCACAGCTGGCGTCAGGCAGTCGGGTAATTGGGTCCGTTTGTCTCTGCCTTATCCGCCTGCGACTTTTTTTCTGAAATGCAAATCCTACAAGGGGTGATTTACTACATGGGAGTGCAGGATGTAATTCACATAGTGTTAAAGAGTAATAGGTTAGCTTTGTGAAGTACAAATCTAGTTACAGAAACTACAGATGCTAGTAACAGAACAAAAAACAAAAAACTAGGAGTGATTAACTCTTTCAGGCCAGGTTATGTTTCTTCTCTAGCCTGTTCACTGTTCCCTTTATTTTCCTTGTTCTCAGGAGAAGGGAAACTTCGTTTCTATTTCTGCTGCAACAGAACCTCAAGCCAAGGAAGAAAAAAAGTCAAAGAGGCTTTTTTTTTTTTTTTTTTTTTGCGATACGCAGGCCTCTCGCCGCTGCCGCCTCTCCTCTCCCGTTGCGGAGCACAGACTCCGGATGCGCAGGCCCAGCGGCCATGGCTCACGGGCCCAGCCGCTCCGCGGCATGTGGGATCTTCCCGGACCGGGGCACGAACCCGTGTCCCCTGCATCAGCAGGCGGACTCTCAACCACTGCGCCACCAGGGAAGCCCTAAAGAGGCATTTTTAACTTCAAGCAGAAACTATGAGCTCTCTGTGTCTGTCTGGATATATGGATGTCTCATTACGTGTCTTTGTCTTTGGATAATATTGCTGAGGTTAATTTGTAAATGAGCTCTATTTAATTGGCTTAAAGTAAGCACTTACAAATCAAACATTTCTAAATACAAGAGAAATTAAGCTAAATAAATTTCAAGTTCACATGATCTGAGGAATATTAAGTATTAAATTAATATCTAGTATTAAAGTCAGCTTAAGTTCATTGTTTAAGTATGTTAATTAGCAAGGCACATCTTTAGAATCATCAACATTAAGTATTGTACTTTTATTGTACTTGGGCTTACTGAGAGTCAATAAGTTCATACTATTGGGATCGCCAAAAAGTGCCTTCAGTTCTTAAGTAAAAATAAGACACATTTTTCATTTTCCTCAAGAACTTTATTGAGCAACGTATTCACCCTTTTGTTCCACTACCTTCTGCCATTTTTCAGGCAACTTCATAATTCCATTTTCCTAAAACTTATCTTTTTGAGCAAAGAACTGTTCCAGGTGCCTTTTACAGTCTTCCAGGGAACTGAAATTTTTTCCATTAAGAGAATTTTGTAAAGACCGAAATAAATGGAAATCCGAAGGTGCAATGTCTGGTGAATATGGCGGGTGAATCAGAACTTCCCAGCCAAGCTGTAACAGTTTTTGCCTGGTCATAAAACAACATGCAGTCTTGCATTATCCTGATGGAAGATTTTGTGTTTTCTATTGACTAATTCCAGACGCTTTTCGTTGAGTGCTGCTTTCGGTGGGTGTAAATGGGAGCAGTACTTGTTGGAATTAATCGTTTGGTTTTCTGGAAGGAGCTCATAATAGAGGACTCCCTTTCAATCCCACCATATACGCATCACCTTCTTTGGATGAAGACCGGCCTTTGGTGTGGTTGGTGGTGATTCATTTCACTTGCCCCACAATCTCTTCCGTTCCACATTATTGTACAGTATCTACTTTTTATCACCCATCACAATTTGTTTTAAAAACGGAACGTTTTCCTTATGTTTAAGTAGAGAATCACATGCAGAAATACGGTCAAGAAGGGTTTTTTCGCTTAACTTATGTGGAACCCAAACCTCAAAGCAATTAACACAACCAAGATGGTGCAAATGATTTTCAGAGCTTGATTTGGATATTTTGAATATGTCAGCTGTCTCCCACATGGTATAATGTTGATTGTTCTCAATTAATGTCTCGATTTGATCGCTATCAACTTCAGCTGGTCTACCCAACCGTGGAGCATCATCCAGCGAGAAATCTCCGGCACGAAACTTCACAAACCACTTTTGACACGTTCGATCAGTCACAGCACCTTCTCCTTACACTGCACAAATCTGTTTTGCATTTCAGTTGTATTTTTACCTTTCTTGAAATGATAAACCATAATATGCCAAAAATGTTCCTTTTTTCTTCCATCTTCAATATTAAAATGGCTATACAAAAATTCACCAATTTTGATGTCTTTTTTTAAATGCATGCTTATATGACAGCTGTCACATACAATCTAACAAAATTGTTTTGAATGAAGTTAAAGAAAACTAAGTGCTACTAGAGACATCTTGTGAAAAAACCGAACGAACCTTTTGGCCAGCCCAGTATATCTATTGCAAAATTTGTCAGCAAGAAAATTAACTTGGTATGGGATAAAAGCTTTTGGGTGAACACTTTGGGAATAATTATGTTTTAGAAATGTCTACTTAAAAATAGTTTTTCCAGGTTTCTGGTAACTTGAAATATTAGAGTTTTGCTAAATTAAATTAAATGATAACATTAAATGTCAAAATCATTTTTAAGGTAAAATACTGGAACATTGATTGCTGAACAAATCTAAGTTTACCTACTTTTGTCTTCTTACGAGAGGGAAACTAAAGATGTTTGGGTGTATTAGACATGCATCTTGCACCACATGCAAGAGAAATCATGCTATGAGGAAACTGTATGTTTTTGGAGGTTATGAAATAAATTCTTAAGTTTGCTAATCAAGGAATGCTGATATCACAGCCAGTTAAATTACTTGTTTCTTGGTTTTGTTAAGGTTTCTAAGAGTTAAAAAATTATTATATATAACTAAAGCTACTAAAATAATAAGGGAAACATTTCAATATGTAAAGATAGTAGGGTATATGTTGTCAGTGACAGAAGACATGAAGACGGGAAATATATTCATGGGGGAAAAAAAAGGAGAATAATTTTGTCCTAGAGCTGCTTGTTTATAGTTTTAAAAAAGGGGACAAATTAATATGGACACATAAAGTTATGGAAGGTTTACATAAAAAGAACCTTGAAAAAAGGAGGGTTTTTTAATGGTCAGGATTGATTAAGATTAGATTGAATTTAATTAAATAAATGATTTTGTTATTAACAGTAAGGTGGTACCAAAAAAAAAAAAGAATTTGGTTTTCTCTCTGTTAAAAGAACAAAGTTTTCTTGAAATGCTGCTTTTGATAACAGATTGTGTGAATCTCTTGGCCTTTAAGTGACTTGTATTTGCTTTTGAAATCTTTTATTACTTTGGTTGAGTGAATAAGTATTGTTTCAAAATGACCTATAATTCCGTTCACCAAGTGTTTTGAAACTTTTTGATATTTTTGACAAACTTCCCAAAAGTCAAATTCTAGTTAAGGTTCTTCTGACCTCCAGCTAACTTTGAGGTGCTTCAGAGGGCCCCCGAGGCATCTCAGAAAAAAATATTAAACTAACTAGGATTATTTGGTAGATTAAATTAGAGGGGAAGCATTGTCAAATAAAAGGTAACATTAAGCCTTCTTTTTATTATGTCTATATAAGTATATTGTGGGTGTTACAGAAATTATATGAAATTCCTTAAAATCTTATATGACCTGACATAAAATGTTATCCATCATCAAATTTGAGGCTCACACCAAAGGGACTGAACCTGAGTGTTAGGGAAATGCCCTAACTGACTTTCATGCAAAGGCAACAACAGAATCTGTAAAGATTATAGCACATGTAGATAAACTCCATTCTGGTTCTACAAAGAAACTTAACCCCTCATTGCCATCCTGATGTCTTTATAACATGGCAACAGTCTGCTCCTAAATCAGAGAAATTAAGATATGTAAACAATAGCTGTGAGTTAAACAGTCAGGGCTATGGGGAACCCAAGACAGACACTTGGATTGTCCCAGGTCCCTGGCAAACCCCATTTTTTATTTAATGGGTTAAAGCCTTCCCTGACTGCAAGACTGATGCCCTCACAATGAAAAAAGAAATGGTTAGAAAATGTGTTTTCCACTTGGGATATTCTTTCTACAATCATAATTTGGCTATACTTGGTAAAAATGAGAGAAAAGATTGTTTTTAGAGAGAAAAGATTGTTTTTAGAGAGAAAAGATTGTTTCAATAGGTGTTAAATTCTAGTTTTGTTAATTGAGGTCAGTATTTACTGTCTAAAACTCTCTTCCCAAATAGCTCTTTGTTACTATGTTACGTTATTGTAAAGTTTAACTGAGTTATTAAGAAGATATCCTAAGCTTGTTTCTGAAGCTGATCACTGTAATCTATCTTTGGATGAAGATCAGGTGCCCCATGATCTATAACCAAGGGGTTATGCATACTGGAAAAAGCATCATTTAAAGGACTGTCTTCAACCTAGATGAAAGACTTCTTATCAGGTATTCTCAAGTACCCCATGCACAAGGAAACTGAAGGGAAACAACTCTTAAATTCATATTTCCCAATTAAGAAGGGCCTCTGCATTGAACTGTCTACAGAAAAGACTGCTGACCCCAAATGACAACCACACAGGATAAGAAGACAACAGCAGTGGTAGGCAGCTGACCCAAGGATCTGTATCGGCCCTGAAGAACCATCCAACTAATTTAATTGAATTGTTTACCAAATGTTTGTCTTGCTATCAAAATGGAAAGTTATTGTTTTACTTCTGACCATACGTTTAACACCAATGTTCAGGATGGAAAGAAATTTCTCTAGTGAAGTTGTCTAACTATTCATGACATATATCACTGCTTGCTTTGAGTGTACTGCTAAAAGCACGTATGTTTGAATGACAATTTGGTACAATTGATTAAGTGCATAGCCTATAAAGTGTTTCCCTGTCAGCATACCTCACTATATTTGTTTGTCCTATCTGATTAGTTTTCCCCCAACGTGGAGAACTAGGCAAAGGTATAAACGAAGAGTAAGCCTAGCCCTGAGGGACATGAATGGACCTGGAGCAGGCAGCTAAACCACTTCAACAACAATGGAAAAATGTATTGATTATCAGTGCTTTCTATGGAGAGATTTGCAACTAAAGGGGAAAAATGATGGAGGAAATTTTCACATATTGAGGTATGGGAAAGTCATTCTGGCTTATACATTATTTTGAACTTTAGGCTAACCAGAACAGCCTGTTTGTGTCCTATTACATACACTTGTACATCTGCTTTAACCATTGAGAAAAAGTATACATTTAAAAATCAAAGTAGAGTAAATATGGTTCAGGCATTGAATACAGAGCTGGATGGCTGTTACGGATGTGGTTTCAGACATGTTTCTGTACGACTGAGAACCTGGCAGCCGACTGCAACCTTATGCCCTCCAAGGTGTTAATATAACAAAAGGTGACATCAGGCCAGAAAGAAAGAAAAAGCCTCTCTGCTTATCTTGCAGGATTCTAGAGCACCTTTTGGGACAAGCGAATCCCTTAAAATGAAAGTCCAGAACTTTCTCTCTTCTAATCCTCCCCAATTTTAACATTGCCCCTGTTCAGCAGGAAGTAGCCAGATGACTTTTTAGTCCTCACTGCCATAGATATGGAGGGTTATAACTGACAGTGGGGAATATGTAGCTGAATATAGAGTTAAAAATTTAACAACTGACCACCTCCTTTAACTCATGCATTAAATCAAATAATGTACACATGCTGTTTCTGTCTGCTAACTATGCTGATAAGTTCTAGCCTGTTTGGCTAGTTCTTCTTAATTTGAGTCACAGGTGTGTAGGATCAAGCAGAAGAAAAACAGAGCATCTTGACCAGAGGCAGACCACTGCAATGGCCATGAATCACAGATATATCGAAAGAAACAGCACCAGCCCAGTGAGGTCTCAGTCACGTAGTCCTGTTACCCCTACCCTCAAAATTCTCCTTAAATAGACCTGCCCTCTTTCAGAGAGTAGGACAGTAGTTTTCAAGAAGTTAGTCTCCTACCCTCCTCATTTGCTGGCAAAATAATATTTCTCAAGGGAATTCCCTGGCAGTCCAGTGGTTAGGACCCTGCACTTTTACTGCAGAGAGTGCAGGTTCAATCCCTGGTCAGGGAACTAAGATCTCACAAGCCATGTGGGGCAACCAAAAAATAAATATAAATAAATAAATAAGTAAATATCTCAAGGACTCCAAAATGACACTGGCCAGCACCAGTGTGCTTGTGGTAGAATGAGCTACCAAAAATGGCTCCTGCCAGCAACTGTGTCCCCAGGGTGAGCTCCAATTGCTTCCCGCCTCTCCAGGAGACTCTTCTAGAACAGCAGAGGTGACTCAGGAGGCCCTGGAAGATCTCAGCCTCACAAGATGGAGAAGCCAGATATCAAATCACAAGGGAAGGCCAGCTGCAGTTGGCAAAACTCATTTGGACTGTGATGTGAGTGAAAAACATATGCTTGTTGAATGAAGGAATAATCAAAGAGCTAAAAGACTGGAATGTTTCTAAGTACCAAGAGCAGAAGAGTACAGGGTTTTCTGTGAAACTTTGGAAAGGATGATGGACTAGTTGACAAGAAATTTTTCTCACTCCAAACAATTGGGTTGGATCAACTGGCACTTTGGTGAAGCTATCCTGAGAAGCCACTATTCTTTTCCATTTTCTCCTGCTGCCCCCACATCTAAAGAGCACAAAGTGTTTCTAAGGCTATAGATAGCCCTGTGGGATGGTATTGTAGTTAATACTGAGTTCTGAAGGCCCTGGTTTTGCTAGTGAAATGATAGGAGCATGCTGTGTGTACATTAAAAGAAGTGTTGTTATATTAAAATCTTTTCTTTCTTTCCTTTATTCTCAAAACCTTGTCCTCATTATCATTTGGCATTGGGAACAGGGACCAAAATTTTGGTTACATGCTGAGCAGAGCATTTCTGCCCACTCCAGGCTCCTGCTCCCCTTCTCTGGCCTGACAGGGCCCCTTGGCAATGGAGGAGGACAATCAAAATAGAACATGAGCACTGTGGCCACCAGGTAGCACCAGCACACACTCCTGCTGCCAAGCAAAGGCTCAGGGAAGCCCAGAGGACTAGGGGTCTTTGTTCTCTGGACCCGTCTCAGAGCCTACCTGAACCCTCAACACCTCCCTGACCAGGGGAGTGAAAAGCGGTTCTTGTTTGGATGAAAAGACCCATTGGTTTTTTTTTTTTTTTAATTTATTTATTTATTTTTGGGTGTGTTGGGCCTTCGTTTCTGTGTGAGGGCTTTCTCTAGTTGTGGTGAGAGGCAGCTACTCTTCATCGTGGTGCACGGGCCTCTCACTATCGCGGCCTCTCTTGTTGCGGAGCACAGGCTCCAGACGTGCAGGCTCAGTAGTTGTGGCTCATGGGCGTAGTTGCTCCGCAGCATGTGGGATCCTCCCAGACCAGGGCTCGAACCCGCGTCACCTGCATTGGCAGGCAGATTCTCAACCACTGCGCCACCAGGGAAGCCCGACCCATTGGGTTTTGTATTGTTATATCTTGGGTGGCATTATTCACTCATTCATTCATTGATCAAAATCATACCCAGCCATTCCAGGAAGGAAGTGGAGAATACAAAGAAGGAATAACCCTGTCCTCGGGAACTCTCAGTCTAATGGAGAAGACAGGCGGTGTGCTAATAAGGAAACATTTATTGAGCACCTATTGCATGCTTCTTTAAAGCCCTCTAGTGGCTCCCATTGCCTTCAAGGTAAATCCAAACTCCCCCTCCTCAGCCCACCCTGCCTCTCTGCTCCAGTCATCCTGTACTACCTGCAGGTGTGTCCCCAAGCACACCCAGCCCCCTGGGCCTCATACCTGTGCATTTCTCTGAAACTGACTAATTCCTATTTGTCCCTCAAGATGTCACCTCTAAAAAAAGCCTTTCTGAACCTATCCTTGTCACTGCACTCACCACAATTTGTCAGACTGATCTTTCAGGGGACCAACAACTTTGGGGCCAGGAGGTCACAACCACTTACTTTTATTTGTATATCCAGTGCCTAGACAAGTATCTGGAACATGGTCAGCCCTCAGTGGGTGGTTGGGTTTACAGATGAATGAGACGAGGCCATTTCATGACCTGGCAGTGAAATCACACACAGAATCCCACCTAGGGAGACAGGGCTCCCCATTACCGATGACACTTGAGCTGAGTCATGAGGGAAATTCCAGGTCATGAGAGTCACAAAAGTGACAGCACAGAAGTATGAAGCAGTACAGGGAATACAAGGATTTGCAGATTTGAAGGGTCTAAGTGAAAGGGCTGCAGAGGGACATAAAATCCAGAAGACAAGGGCCCTCCTATTCTGGATAAGGTGATGGAACTTTTTCCAGAGGGTGGTGGGGAGTCGCTGAAAAGCTCTAGATTGGTGGAGTAATGTGATCAGACTTGGGTGTTATATAGTGTATCAGTGAGCAATTGCTGTGTAACAAACCACCCCCAAACTGAAAACAACAACCATATATTTGGCTCCCGAGTCTGTGGGCTACCAAGCAAGTACTGCTGATCTGGACCAGCCTCTGCTGATCTTGATTGGGCTCACGCATGTGTCTGCATCTGTGGGTCAGCCAGAGGCTGGCTGGTCTTTGTTGCCTCCAGGTGCTGTCTCATTCTCCAGCAGTCTCAGCTGGACTTGTTCACATGGCGGTCACAGGGGCGCAAGAGAGTAAGTATTTGTATGCAAGGCCTCTTATATCCAGAGCTGAGAGCTGGCACACCATCACGTCTGCTGTGTTTTATTATCAAAGCGAGTCAAGCGGCCGGCCCAGACTCTTCATGAGTGCAGCTGCAAAATCACATGGCAAAGGACACGTACAGAGAGATGTGAAAACAACTGTGGCCATTGAGATGAATCTCTCTGGCTCTGCAGGGTGGAGAACAGCAGCAGGGAGAACTGGTTAGAGTCTTTGATTAGCCCAGGTAAGAGGCAAAAGATAGATACTCTTCAGAGAAATGCTCTGTGAGTGAAGTCTCCTTAGCACTTCCAAGGTGCCAGGTCCTGGATTAGTTCCATCTTGGAGGCTGGGGAGTCCACCTGACAAGAAGGCATTAAATCTCAGTTTGAAGAGGAGGAATAAGATTTGGGAAGCTCCCACCCAAGCAGCCGCTGCATGGTTGGGGCTCTAGAGGCTGCAAGAGCCAAGGGATCAGTCCGAATGCTGTCCCTGGAAGTGTCAGCTCAGGCACAGTCACCATTATTTGGGAAAAGTGCTGGGAGTCTGGCCCTGGGGTTGTCGTCCAGCTCCATCCCTGAAGGAAGTGTGGCCATATGGACAAGAGGACAGCAGAGAATCATCAGTCAAATGGGTGCCTTTCGCCAGAATCAGGCGATGATGTTAAAGATGAGAAGCCCAGGTAAAGATTTTTATACCATGGTCTGTGTAGGAAGGAAGGATTACTTTGCACTTAAGGACTTAGATTCTAGAGCCAAACTGGCAAGGGTCCTATCCCAGCTCTGTCACCAGCTCTGTCATGGGTGTGAGACCTGTGCTGTCACAGGTACCCACTCAGAAGCCTCCAGGCTCCGTGGTAGCTTTAGTACTCTGCTGTTGCCACCTTGAAATTCTTAATAACTTTTAAATTATTGCATGTGCAGTCCAGTTCCTTTAAACTAATCTTCACAAAAGCCTTGCTAGGTAGACATTAATATGTCCATTTTACAGACGAGGTAACTGAGGAAATGGAGGCAGCCAGTATGGACTTTCTAAAGGTAGAACTGGCATGGCCCTGCCAGGGGGTAAACAGCAGTAAGGGAATAATCTGCCCCTAATTTGGTTCTTACTCTGCTCTTACCCTCAGTTCCAGGCCTCTCACAGTGTCATAGGCCCAGGAAGAAGAGAAAACCCAGTGGAGCCTGGGCTGTCAGTGCACTGACAGCCAGAGCACTGGCTCTGGACTCAGGAGTTAGAGATAGAATTCAGAGCATGATTTTCCGGTTGACCTTGGGCATGTACATTTCCCTCTCTGAGTCTCAGTTTCCCCATCTATAAAATGGCACAGATGCATTCTGAGGTCCCTTGCTGCACCCTTGTATTAACCAGGTCTTTTATGTTCTGTATTCTGATGCCTTGACATCTGGGGCCTTGCTGATTCTGGAGGGACTGCCCCTCCCAGAGTTCGCCAATCCCTAATGATAGGAATGAACTTCCCCTTCAAGCGTGCCAGAGCCTGTACCCCAACTACCTTCTCTACCAGGCCCTCCACATCTGGCCACTATCAACCTGCCCTAATCACTCCAGGCCAAGTACCTGACAACTGTGGGAACTCCCTAAGCCCCAGAGCCCATTGCAATTGGCTACTTTGCCAATCCCAAACCTGCTTATTCTGCTTCACCTCGACCTTGCCCCCAGCAACCAAGATAAAGGTTCTTGCGCCCAATTCCTCGTTCCTTCCTCTGCCTCCTGATGCACCTGGTACCTCACCTGTGGCCCACCATGGTGGTGTCAGGCCCCCTCCTCTGGGGAGCTGTGAGTAACAAACTATCTTTTCAGTGGCAGTTGGCTCCTGATCCGTGGTCTTACCACACCTCAGACTGTCTATTAATATACTGTATCTTAAAACAACCCCTTTGTTTATGAATTACTTTTTTTGCACAGTCTCCATTCCAGACACATTTTAGAAACAGCAACCCATTTCAACCTCGCAGTAGCCCAATGAGGTAGATACACTTGTCACCCCCATTTTAGAAATACAAAACCGAGGCACAGAAAAGGGAAGGTTCTTGCCTCAGGACACACAGCTAGTAAGTGCTGAGCTGGAATGCAAACACACGCACTATGGCTCCAGAGTCGGTATTAATATTCTGGTATGCCACTCTCCATGATTTGGCCTCATGCATACTGATAATCAAGAGGAAAATAGTAGGCACTCTCCAAAGTTCTCAACAGCAGGGCAGGAGGTCAGCTGATGTCCCTCCTGCACATGGCCCGTGCAGCTGTGTCTCACGGTGTTTACCCTCCCCTGTGTCTCCTGCCACCAGATTGGCTGGGCTCAAAGCTCCAAGTCCAGAGGGTGAGCCACTGCTAGGGAACTTTGGCCCTGTATGCATCTCTGGCACCTCGTCCCAGACAAAGATTTCAAAATGTCACCCCGCTATTTGCATTTCAGGAGGACTCATGCCAAGCTGTGGAAGTGGAGAGGGAGGTCAGGACCAGAGCAAGGAGCCACAGTACAGAAGAGCAGCTCGCATGCCTACAGGTCTCTAGGAGTTTGGAGAGGCAGTACGGTCCCACCCCTCAGCTCTGCCCCCCTCCAGTCCCGCCCTCTCTAGCTCTGGCTGCAAGCTCCTACCCCCCCGAACCCCCGGCCACCTCTAAGACACACCCTCCCCGCCCCAGAGTTTCCCCTCTTTTATACTGACAGCCAGGACTAAACCCTCCAATTACAGGTGGCCGGAGACTCTTCAAACAATTTGTTTCATAAGTGTTTTTCCCTTCCTGGACTCTAACCTTAGGGTGCTGTGGGCTACCAAGGCAGACACAAGCACACAGAGGCCTTTGGACAAGGGGAGGCTGTGGTCTGGGGTCCTCAGAACAACTTGAAAACTTTCAGAGCAACTCCCAGACCCACAGCTGCCCAGCTGGGGAATTAAGGGCAAATCTTTTCATTTCCCTGGGCTTCTATTTCATAGAGTTCCATGCTCTTATTTTGGAAACATCTTAAATCTCATTCAGTCTCCCTTCTGATGCCTAAATTAACTTCACAGTATTCCTGCTAAGTGACTCAGCCTCCTGCTGCACACCTGCAGGGTCAGGGAACTCATTACCTCTCCAGGCAGGGATCTTTGGACAGAATGTTCTTACAATAAAGGGACTCCATCTCTCTATAGTCTTTGGTTCTAATTATTCATTCATCCATCCCTCCATCTTTCCTTCCATTTATTCATTATTTCATTTATTCATTCATTCTCCAAACATTTACCAAATGCCTGGCACTCTGCTAAGTGTAGTGGATACAAAGATAAATCCAAGACATGTTGCTGTAAACTGGACTGGATCCTGAATTTTTCTACTTTCCTCAAATATCTGGCTACGACTCTCCAAACTAAAGTTTCAAGTTTTTTCCCACCTTTCTGATT